TGGGAATAGTAGTGGCACCCCTTCACCAAAATCTGGCAGTGTAAAGATTATCCGAGAACCGAAAGCCCCTGAGTCGATGCCTGGGGGGCGAGGACAGTCGTTAGGATTTAGAGGAAGGGGTGGAAAGTCTTCGTCATCGCCGCATCCTCCAACTAAATCGTGAAGGCGGTGTTGGAATCTGATTTATTTGATATGTTTTCGAGCTATGTATTTGTTGTCGAGATACCTCGTGGGCCTCTGGCCCTTGGCGCTATTATTCATTTCACGTGAGCGGCCATTTCTAATCTTATCTTGCCGCTTCAGGTTATGAGCACATCTGAACGGAACTCGACATCCACACGGTCTCCTGCATAAGGTATAAGTACCCCATTTCGCAGCCTCTGGCCTCCTTCTGTCCTCCACGCTCACTGGTTTCGCACAGAGCCTTCAATCGTCCACCCATCCACTACTGTAAGTAATCATACGATCGGTGAACTATGAGCTGAAGCATTTGCATACATATAGGTCCTTCATGCCTGCCCCTCCAGAATTCCTCAAGTACGTTGACGACAACGCCAATAACTTCATTCAGCGTCTCGCAGATGCTGTGGCCATCCCAAGGTCAATACCAACATGACCCATCCAGAAACTCTCGCTTATATCTCCCGCCAACAGTATTAGCGGTGATGCTTCACGGCGCCAGGATGTCATCAAGATGGCCAACTGGCTAAACAATCAACTCAAGGCTGTTGGCGTAACTACAGAACTCAAGGACCTTGGAACTGAACAGATCGAAGGTCAAACTTTACCCCTTCCACCCGCTATCCTTGGAAGGATCGGGGAAGACAAGAACAAGAAGACTATCCTCGTCTATGGCCACTTCGATGTGCAACCGGTAGGTGGATGTGTATTACCATAACTCAGATATATGACTAAAAATATGTTACAGGCTTCCAAGAGCGATGGTTGGGACACAGAACCGTTTACGTTGGTCAGAGACGAGGCCACAGGCCGCCTAGTCGGCCGTGGTTCGTCTGACGACAAAGGCCCAGTCCTCGGATGGGTGAACGTCTTGCAATGGCACTATGAGAACAAGAAGGAGCTCCCTGTGAACCTGCGATGTTGCTTCGAGGGAATGGAGGAGAGTGGAAGCGAGGGGCTTGATGAACTCGTCGGAAGAGAAAGCAAGCCGGGAGGCTGGTTTGAGGGCGTGGATGCGGTTTGCATTGTATGTATGGTCCATCAGAGATATCCCGTCAATGACCTATGTGATTGCAGTCCGATAACTACTGGCTCAACACCAGGACGCCGGCGCTCACCTATGGCCTGCGTGGCTTAGCATACTACAAGATTACGGTTTCTGGTCCTGCGCGGGATTTGCACTCGGGAGTATTTGGGCGCACGGTGTATGAGCCTATGACGGACCTCATCGCTATTATGGGCAAGCTGGTCGACAGCCAGGGCCGCATTCTCATTCCTGGAGTTGAAGATTTGGTCTCAATTGCTGATGAAGACGAGAAGTGAGTTTCTCTATGATGGTGCAGCGAGCAGGACTGAACTTGGTTTGGCATACAGGAAGATTTACGCATCTTTGGATTATTCCATAAGTGACATCGAGGAGTCGGCGGGTGCCCCTATCGCGTTGTCATCGGATAAAGTTGAGGTTTTAATGGGCAGGATGCGCTACCCAAGCTTGTCATTGCATGGTATTGAAGGAGCTTTCAGCGGCGTTGGGGCTAAAACTGTCATCCCAGCGAAAGTTTCTGGGAAGTTTAGCATTCGGTTTGTGATTTCACTCCTCTCTGCCCGCCAAGGCCTGAAAAACCCGTAACAGCCTGGTTCCTCCGCAAACACCAAAATTGGTGGACCCCCTCGTCAGACAATACATTCAAGACGAGTTTTCAAAACTCAAGACCAAGAGCAAGCTCGAGATTGAGGATTTGCATGGCGGAAAGCCTTGGGTAGCTGACCACAACCATTGGAACTTTGAGGCGGCGAAGAGGGCTACATGGGTAAGTTAATGAAGCTCCTCTTGCCGCCGCCCCTGACGTTTTCCGCAGGAGATTTATGGTAAACTTCCTGACCTGACGAGGGAGGGTGGTTCGATTCCTGTCACTTTGACGTTCGCGGAGAGCTTGGGAGTGAATGTTTTATTGTTGCCGATGGGTCGCGGTGATGACGGAGCACAGTGAGCACCACTTGGATCTTCTTGATCTTATATGCTGAATTCGTATAGTTCGACGAACGAAAAGCTCGATAAGGCAAACTATCTCCAGGGGGTGAGTGAACCATTTTCAAACAGGTCCGGCTTGTCCATTGACGCGTTCCTGATAACCTCGCGCAGACCAAGCTACTCGGAACGTACTTGTATGAGGTTGCGTGATTCGCTTCACGCAGAGGGGTTGTAGAGTAAAGTAACGTGAAGCCGAAGAAGCGAGTGGCGTGAGGGGCAAGGCGAAGAACACGGCTAGCCCAACGGCCGGAAACGATAGTGAAAATTTTTGTTGATATATACATTGAAGTACTGTTGTTATGTTGTTCCGACAAGGGCGCGCAGTGTGCAGTGTGCAGGTCTTGATGGTCGCAGCCAGTACTGATGTGATCAACCGGCAGAAGATAGTGTCGGACGGAAATGAGCTGGGAATTGACACCATCTGCCCGTTGTCGTGTATGATACACGCAGGGAAGGACATCTTTTTTACAACGGATCCGGCGTTCACTGGCCGTCAGCGCACCGAAATTAGAGTCTTGGCCGAGGGACGCTGCAGTTCGGGGGCTGAGCTTGATTTGGGGGGTGGAGATGGCTAACCCGATTGCAACACACCCCTAAACTGCCGTTTTCTACGTCTCCCTCCTTACTTCATCTCTCTCTCTCATACCACCACCATCCCCATTTCCCCTGTATACCATGGCTCCCGTCAAAGTCTCCAAAATATGCTGCAGTGAGTCCAGTGTGCCACCCATCGATAACTACTTCTCGCTGACAACGCATTGCTCGAAATAGTCGGTGCTGGCTATGTCGGTACGTGTTATGTGCATATATGCGCCAATACGTGCTCACGGGGACATATTGACGCGTCTTCCAGGTGGACCGACTTGTGCGGTCATTGCCCTCAAGTGTCCTCATATCCAGGTCACCATTGTTGATCTGAACAAGGCTCGTGTCGATGCCTGGAACAGCCCTGACTTCAAGCTCCCCATCTATGAGCCTGGTCTCGAGGATGTTGTCCGCCAAGCACGCGGGCGCAACCTTTTCTTCTCGACTGACGTGGACAAGGGCATTGAGGAGGCCGACCTTATCTTCGTTAGTGTCAACACCCCAACCAAGAAGAGCGGTGTGGGTGCTGGTTTTGCTGCCGATCTCAAGTACGTATCGATTCTTGCTGCATACATTCGTGCCAGTTGGGGGCGCCGAACTCCTCGAGTTGATATATGCTTTGAGAGATTATTCAATGAAGAGTTGGTTACTAATAGCATTTTTCACGCAGCTACGTTGAACTCGCGACTCGCCGAATTGCTACCGTCGCCACCAGCTCCAAGATCGTTGTCGAGAAATCTACCGTCCCATGCCGCACCGCCGAGTCTATGCGCACCATCCTCGAGGCCAACTCCAAGCCTAACTGCCGTTTCGACATCCTCTCCAACCCTGAGTTCCTTGCCGAGGGAACTGCCATTCAAGACCTTTTCAAGCCAGATCGTGTCCTCATCGGTTCGCTCCAAACTCCGGAGGGTATTAGTGCATGCGACAGCCTCGCTCAGGTTTACGCGAACTGGGTTCCGTAAGTGAAACCATTCGTTGTCGTTGGTGGCAACACTTAATTTGTTCCTGATTACAGCAAGGAGCGCCTCCTCACTGTCGGTCTATGGTCCTCCGAGCTTTCCAAGCTTGCCGCCAATGCCATGCTTGCGCAACGTATTTCTTCGATCAACGCTCTCTCCGCTATCTGCGAGTCTACTGGTGCCAATATTGACGAAGTTTCCCATGCCATTGGTTATGATACACGTATTGGTCCCAAATTCTTGAAGGCTTCCGTTGGCTTCGGTGGTAGTTGCTTCCAGAAGGACATCCTGAACCTTGTATACCTGTCTGAGAGCTGTCACCTTCCTGAGGTTGCTGCTTACTGGAGACAAGTTGTGGAGATGAACGAATACCAAAAGAGGAGGTTCTCTAAGCGAGTTGTTGATACCCTTTTCAACACCATCACTGGCAAGGTTCGTGTTTGGTCGCCTTTAACTTGATGGCGCATATATTGACCCGGGATCACTCACTTTCATACAGCGGATCGCTGTCCTTGGCTTCGCTTTCAAGGCTGACACCGGTGATACTCGCGAGTCGGCTGCGATCACTTTGATCAAGGACTTCTTGTCTGAGCGGGCCTTCGTCAATGTCTACGATCCCCAAGTAGTGCATGATCAGATCTGGATGGACTTGCAGGAAGCCAGCCCCCTTGTCCCTCTCGATAACAGTACGTATCTTTTTCTCAGTCAGTCAAAGGGAAGATGGCTGAGATGTCGAATGATATTTTAGTCAAGAAACAAGTAACCATCTTACCTTCCGCTTTTGAAGCTGCCAAGAACGCAGACGCCATCGTGATCGCCACAGAGTGGAAGGAATTCAAGGAGATCGACTGGGAGGAAATTTACAAGCACATGAACAAGCCTGCATTTGTTTTCGATGGTCGTTTGCTCGTGGATGCCGAGAAGTTGACCAGGATTGGTTTCAAGGTGAGTCGTTTTGTTAGGTTTAAGACGGGCCTGTGCTGATAAGGTGAAAGGTTACTACCATTGGTCGCCCGTCAACTATTATCTAGAAATTTGTGAAATCCAAATACCCGAGGACCCATTCATTGATAATTACTGTGGAGGTTTAATTGAGTAGACGTATCATACTTCGACATAGATTTCCTTTCTTTCATCATTGTTACAACGGACTGTTCGAAATTGTGGATAGATTTTTTCTACGTCGCACTTGTTCAAAATAAGATTATGGGAAAAACCAAACTATTAGAGGCAACAAAAAGTGTCCCAGGGAGGATTCGAACTTCCGGCTTCTCGGAGTAGTCACAATACCACAACGAGATGATTTGACCACTAATCGACAGGGACGTTAAGGGAATTGATATACAAAAGGTCTTGTTCCATAGTCAGGCATTTACATTTTACACATACAGATAAGAATCTCCAGTTTTATTTCCAATGAGAATGTCCCTTTATCATGATGATTATCTCAGATACAAAGAACAAGAGGTACAAATAACCTGACCATCTTGTATAAATCATATCCATTAAATACAGCCTCATGAATTGAACTTTCTTACTCTGGTAGGTCTCAAATGACAATCCCTTTATAGCAGAATTTGATTTGAAAAGTGTGAGGGCGAACAACTGGGGCTGAGGACTCAAACTAGGAGAAACAAGCAAGTTGTAGGTACATATCCTGGGAAGAGAAGTGAATGAGTGGGAGCCACATGCAGTACACTTTTTGACGAGTTGGTACGAGAAGTCAATGAGATGGAGAGAGAGGGTGTGGTGGATCTAATGTTCATGTAGTTCCTCGACTAATGCCATAGCTTAAGTGTGCCATAGCCCTGTGTACATCATCGTCTGTTTGTTCAACTTGCGACTCAGTAAGTTTGTGTGACATCATCGAGTGCCTCCGGCCCGGAACTGCTCCGGGTTCTGCCATGTGCATATTTTGTATTTCGAAACCAGTTACGATTTGCTTAATGACTTCGCTCAACTTGCACTCTCACAAAGTCCAGCTGATTGGCACTGCAGTTGCTGCGTCTTTGGCTACCGCAGCTCTCTTGACTTCGTATAATAGTTACAACAGGAAGAAGCGCAGGAAGCATCTCGAAGAAGATATCAAGCGATCTTTGGCGGAGCGCGACACTGCTACTGGTTTGAATGTCCCGCCATTGCAACCTGCAGTCGCGAACAATGCCGCTTCTCCTCACGACATTCTTGGTGGGCATGAATACGACGAAGAACTTATACGAGAACAACTTGCAAGGAATTACACGTTTTTCGGTGAGGAAGCCATGACCAAAATACGAAGTAGCCATGTTGTGATCGTTGGCGCTGGGGGTGTGGGTAGTTGGGCAGCTGTTATGTTAGTACGATCGTATGTTACACCTACTCTTGCTTCCTGTTCTCGGTCTGACTATTAGGGCAGGGGTGTGCGCAAGATCCGCATCATCGACTTTGACCAAGTTACTCTTTCTTCGCTCAACCGCCATGCCACGGCTGGATTGATCGATGTGGGTACCCAAAAGGTCAAGTGCATCGCGAAAGCATTAAAGCAGATGTGCAGATGGGTCGAGGTTGAAACGGTCAATGATTTGTGGACCAAGGAGAACGGAGGCAGCATGTTGGAGGGTGCAGACTGGGTCATTGGTTTGTCCTCTCGTTAATTCACGCAATAGATTTTAAAATTCCAGGTAGACGCGATTGACAACATCCAGACGAAGGTGGACCTACTCAAGTACTGTCATGACCATGGTCTCAAGGTATGAGCCATGTTGTCTCCTCAACGACTCTCGTGACCGACTATAACAGGTATTCTCATCTATGGGTGCAGGCGCCAAGTGCGATCCAACGCGGATACAAATTAGCGATATTTCATCGACTGTCTACGACCCACTGGCACGTTCGGTTCGGCGAAGACTTCGTTTGCTGGGTGTGAACAGCGGTATTCCTGTGGTATACTCCACCGAGGTACCAGGAGACGTCAAACTTCTTCCTCTGCCCGAAGAGGAATTTCAAAAAGGCCCTGTGAAAGAGCTCGGCGCGTTTGATGACTTCCGTGTGCGGATCCTACCAGTACTTGGTACGTTTCTTCTCATCTATCACATACATATTTCGAACGTCTCCGCAGGTCCACTACCTGCAATATTCGGTCTGAATGCAGCGACCTATATTCTTTGTGAGCTCGCGGGAAAGCCGATCTCCAACCCTTTACCGATCAAGAACCGGAGGAAGTTGTATGAAAGAATGCATCGCAACTTGCTACACCGCGAATCCAAACTCTCAGGGGAGCAACTCAAGTAAACACTTACCTACCTTCCCAAGCCTTCCCGTGCTTACATTTTCGTAGTCGACTCCCCATTGACGAAGACGATGTTGGACTAATTTTTGAAGATCTTTACCGAGGAAGAAGCGCAGTTCCACCCCACGAAGTACCCCAACGTCCGACCATTGTAAAATGGGATTTCCGTAAACCCATTACGATTGATAATTGCGTTGTGTTCGAATATAAAGACGCGGAAAAACACGCTAAGGCGTGCTGGAGCCCCACAGGAGATCATGTGGATCCAGATAGCATCTGGGAAGAGGCAGTTCAGGATACGGTGAAACGAAGAGCGGAGGAGGCGCGGAAAGTTATGGAATGGGTAATGTAACATACGGTTACATACCTCTTCACACCCTTTCCTCTCGTAAAACCTTGAGCGAACTTTCACTGCGCTTACTTAGATTCCCTGCGGGGTGGATGAACAGTCGGAACGACTGCCGTGTAGTGCGCACTTATCGGATTAGATCATCATTATTGTTCCCCTTATCGCACGCGTAACGCAAGCCGTGCTTATGATTGTTCACATATTGCGACAAATCACTACCTCACAACCCTCCGCATTCAATTATTACAATAAATAAACCCATTACACCAGTTCACAAAACTATCTCCTATCCTCGATCTCTTTCTTTGCTCTTGCTCTGATCACTATAACGAAATGTCTCGCCAGGCCCACAAGGAAACATCTATTGATGACTGGAATCGTTCAGACAACTACTTTAATTCATTCTTGCTTCCTGATGACCCTACTCTCGATGCAACGGCCAGGAATAACAACCAACGAGGTCTTCCTGATATAGCCGTCAGCGCGGCACAGGGCAAATTCCTGAATCTTTTGCTTCGATCTACCGGCGCCAAACGAGTGCTAGAAGTAGGTACCCTTGGGGGGTAAGTTGGCTATTCTCGAACTGCCTCGATGTTAAGTGCTGAGTTTTGACTCCGATCATCTTTACGATCTCCGGCAGGTATTCCACCATTTGGTTAGCTAGGGCACTTCCCAATGATGGAAAGGTCGTGACTTTGGAGCTAAGCGAGAAGCATGCTGAGGTGATGTGCTATGTTGGGCATCACAGTATCTCACTCATGGAATCATTTGCAACCAGGCAGCAACGGAGAATATTGCCAACGCGGGACTGACTTCCAAGGTCGAGGTTATTGTTGGTCGAGCTGTCGATACACTTGCAACCCTTGACCCTTCGCCGCCTTTCGACCTCGTGTTCATCGATGCTGACAAACCTTCAAATCTTGAATATTTTATTCATGCCAAGCGGCTGGTTCGTTCGGGAGGTATCATAGTAAGTAATCAAAATGTCCCTACATTTTTCATCTCGGCTTCTTGGTTGTCACGATGAGTACCCAAGGAGTTATTTCTCCCTTCTCTCCTTAACATGTACTCCCGAACATCCACTCACATCCATTCCCTTGATCACATTTAGATTGTCGACAATGTGGCCCGGTATGGTCGGGTTTCGGATCCGGAATATACAGACGCCAACGTCGAGGGCGTTCGTCGGTTATTGGATGCGATAAAGGATGACAAAGACGTCGAAGCTACCGTGGTCCAAACTGTGGGTGCGAAGGGGTACGATGGGTTTTTATATGCCTTCAGGAAGTAGAGTTGGGGCCGGGTGTGGGTGTTGGAGTGTATGGCCAGACGGTGCTTGTAAATGAGTCTCTAGGGACATGATGTTCAAGCCAGGAATTCCATATTGTGCAATAACTACATTGTTTACATTGTATAATAACAAGAATGAACTAACGAAGGCATTCTGTGAACCCGAAGCCCAGCTCCGGTGTAATCGTCTATGTAATCCTGCGGTACACATCAAATCCTACAAATACATCACGTTCATACAAAGGTTTCGCAAGGAGAGGCCTATGAAAGTGGCCCGTGCTTCAGGTCAAATGAATCATCATCCGCCGTTGCGGACTGAACAAAGCGATTGTAATAAAAGCTCCAACCAAAAATCCCGTAACGACGCATCCGGCCGTCTCGATAAACCCCGGTGGCTGGCGGGACATGCAATCTTCGTCAACCTCGACTAGAGAGTAATCGAACTCCAGGGGCTCAGCGAAGATCCCTGAGCGAGGCCGGGGAGGGACATATTCAGGCACTTCCTTAGGGGCTGCAGGCGCTGATAACTGCCCAAAGACCAGGGTGGGAGATCCTGGCGGGGAGTCATTCATATCCCGCAATGTCGCGAGGGAGTCTTGTAAGTCTTTCCTGTATGAACCATCTTCATCGACTTGTGTATCGTCATCGCCATCTTCCCGGTCGAAATCGCTGGTGTGTGATAGGATCATCGTCCACGAATCGTCATCGTCAAAGGGCGATGGCGGGAGCGGCAAACACTCTGGGGGAACTTCCGAGCTGCATTGGGGAGGCGTTGGGGGTAGGGGTATCTCCTCAGGTCGAAGCTCTGAAAGAGCAGACGAGGGTGTGTGAGAATGCTGAGGTTGCAAGAGGGGTGGAGTTAGTGCGATCGGCTTGGGTCCCAGTTGTGGACTTCGGCTGTGTGAAGGAGATATTTCGTCAGGGTTGTCATGTTTTGGTATTGGGAGCGATTGATTTGCTATCGCGTTTATCGAGGTGATGAGTGCAGCGCTTAGAAGAGGAGAGGTTCCCGGGGTGGATGTCGATCGAGATTCGAATTCGTCCGCCAGAGCAGGGCCCGCTGCTTTATCCTGAGCTGATACCGGCGGCCGTACGTTCACTTCTGTCTGGGGAAAGAAGGAAGCGAAAGTTGATGATTTAGGAGTGTCTGGGGGGGTGAGGGGGGTCTGAATTTTCGACGCCGGCAATGGAGTAATGCGAAGTTGGGGTGGTGATGGAGTGTGTATCGGTGGAGAAAATACCGGGGCAGCTGGATTAATGAACAGCGTGGGTATAGGCTTTCTTGACTGGTTTGCTTTGAATCGCTTGCCCAAGGAACTGAACTTGTCTTCATATTCTCTCACCACCTCGTGCAGCTCATCAACAACCCCTTGAAGCCGCAGGACCTCATCCTTTACCTGGAGCCCGTGCTTTTCACGC